TCTTTTTTTTATAACCCAAGCTTTAATTTCCAAGCAGTTCCCTACTTGTTGTTCTACAAGCATATCGACAATGTTTGTGGGCGTTCTAGAATGTTTGTGGGCATTCTAGATGACCTGTCGATACTAGAACAACCCTAGATGTGCCTCCCCGGTGGGCTCCTTTTAGAGAAGGTGTTCTTAGGTTTTCGTGGGATAAAAAAATGGCTATGACAATTTCATAAACTTTGTGAGGCTGGTTTCACCAAGGTTTACGGCCACAAGTTGATTCTCATGTGATCAGAGCACTTTATTAACTCTTTTGGGTGCAAGATCAAAATTGCATCAACATATGTTTGGGAAAATTATTCTCGTAGCATTGAAAGATCGCCGTATCCGGAAAATACCATCGAAATTTTGCCGCTTCGTAAAATACCATCGAAAGAATGCAAGGTCACCTGGATATAGCATTCCGTCACGTTTGGAGCAAACGTTGTCGCCTACGTCAAGCTCGTCCCCTTCTCCTTCCTGAGGTGAGCGTGGTCGCTGCCTCTGCTCCAGGCGGGGGGCCATGGCAGCGAGCTCCGGCGTCTGGCTGCTGCAGGCGGAATCGCGGGATCGACCATCCCAACATCGTGCTCCTGCAAGCTGCAGGCCTATTACTTCAGCAAGGACGAGAGAAGCTCATGGTGTACGATCGAGTTCGTGGCCATGGGCAGTCTTTCCTCCATGCTTCACGGTACGTGCTCTGTTCTTGTCAAGCGATCTGCGATTGCGACCCCTCTCTGTTTTGATGACCAAATTGAATGAGGTTTTCTGATGGGGTTCCTAATTGCAGGCAACCACAGCCTCGCCGGTCGCCGCTGAGCTAGGAGTCGAGGAGGCACATCGCGCTGGCCTTGACTACATCCACGCTGGGCTCCATGGCCATGCACGGCAACATCAAGTCCTCCAACATCCTCCTCAGCCGCACCGTGGACGCGCGCGTGGTCGAACATGGGCTCGCGCACCTCATCGGCCCCGCTGGGCTCGCCGACGGCCCGCGTCGTGGGGTACCGGCGTACCGCGCACCTGAAGTTGTGGCGGACACGCGTCGGGCGTCGCAGAAGGCCAACGTGTATAGCTTCGGCATGTTGCTCCTGGAGCTGCTGACGGAGAAGGCGCCGACGCACGCGGTGCTGCATGACGAAGGCGTGGACCTCCCGCGGTGGGCGCGCTCCATGGTGAAGAAGGAGTGGACGTCCGAGGTGTTTGACATGGAGCTGCTCAGGCACCCGGTACCCGAGGAGGAGATGGTGGAGATGCTGCGACTGGCCATGGACTGCACTGAGCCCGCCCCGGACCAGCGGCCGGCGATGCCCGAGATCGTGGCGCGCATCGAGGCGTCAACGGCGTGCGCCACACCAGCCCGCGATTTTTTCCGCAGCAGCCCAAGGCCGGAGCTCGCCGCCACAGGCCCCCTACCTGGAGCCGAGGCTGCGGCCGCACTCACCTCAGGAAGGAGAAGGGGAGGAGCTTGACGGAGGCGACGGCGTTTGCTCCAAATGTGACGGAATGTTATATCTAGGTGACGTTGCATTCTTTCGATAGTATTTTATGGAATGGCAAAGTTTCGATGGTATTTTCCGAATACGGCGATCTTTTAATGCTACCAGACCAATTTTCCCCATATGTTTTGGTCAATTTGCTACATAAGTTGAAGAATTCATCTGCTACCAATGGATGATGATGAGAAGGGTGTGCAACTGATCGAACAAAGACATAGTATCATAAACACAAAAGAGAAGCAACATTCTATGTCTCTCTATATACTACAATACTCGTTGTAGTAGTTAGCATATATTTGTAAGTTATATTGTACTTGTAGTTTATATTCTGTGATCTAACCTCTAAATTATGTACATTACTATTGCCTCCATTTTCAAAATGTCAAATTATCTATTTAGCTTTTCCTAATAATAAACGTCACCTCTTTAAAAATAAAAAAAACTGAAGGAATACGCACACTTTATTTGTTTGATATAGTACACAATTTATTTGCTTCATACCCTGTTAAACTAAGTACTACCATATATCAAAACTTAGAGATTATACCAGCTACTTTACATGTACGATGATTAATTATTGTCTACGGTGATTTATATATATATTACCACATTTAAGAAAAGAAGCAAGCACGTGGATGGATGCATGCATACATACATGTATACTACATACATCCAGCTAGCAAAGAAAAAAAAGGAAAATAATCGATCAGGTGATCATCAGAAGAACATGCTGTATCTAGCTAGTTGTCCTGGTAAAAGTACAGGGTTTTTATTCCTGGTTGTCACGCCCACGGCTATGTGGACAAGTGCATGTGCATTTTATTTCGCTGCCGTAACCTTTACTACACTATTTCCTCAATGTAGTAGCGACATGCATGATGGTTCAATGCATCTTTAATTTAGTTTTCCTTCTTGATACTCCTATATTAGTTTGGCTCTCTCCAGTCATATATCGACAACTTACTTATGCATGCTTATTAGGCCGTCTAAGTTTTGCACATTAAGAGAAGTGGGAAACTATATTAATCTCATGCATGGGGCCAACCATGCATATTGATGTGATGATCCGACTGGTGGTTAGGCACATATAGATAGTACGTAGCTTGTTGGAGCGCCGACTAATAGGTCACAATCAATCCAAATATCTCTCACACACACATATATATATGAACACATATTACCATATACGATGTCTCGTCTCTGCGTATATGTTCGTTTATATATGACACAAGCGCTGCCGTACACGCATCACTCAATGCCATGCCATTTGTTTTTTATGAAAAAAAAGATTTTGCCTACATACATAATTCTGTAATTGACAGGAGCAAAAACCAAAAAAATCCAAAGCATTAAGTTGTGATGATAATAATTGATTCATCCACTGCCGCCTAACTTTCCCATGCCTTAAGTCACAACAACAACAAAAAACTTTCCCATGCCTTGCCGTATGTGTGTAAACCTAAACCCGGATATATATGTGGTGGCGGGGCCGTAGGGGCAGCGGGATGGACGGGCGTGTGGATTTGCCGGGTGGGGTTAGCCAGGCCCAGGCCCGCTCACGTTGCGCGCCACCTTCCTCTCGCTACGCCGCGGGGCCCAGCGCACAGCTGTTATAGTGTGGCCTTGTCTGGGCACTCTCTCATCGTCCAACCGTTCTTCTCTCTCCGTGCTGTTACCTGTTGCCTCGATCCATCTACCACGTACGACTACTGTACATTCTTGCCTTGTGAATTTACAGTGAATAACGTATAGTACATATATACATGCATATAATTGTCATGTTCACTTGGCTGATAAGCCATGACTAAAAATATTATTAACTAATTTGTTATGAGAGAAAAATATTATTTGTTAGCTTAAAAAATACGATTTATAAATTAAGCTAACATGACGAATATATATATATATATATATATATATATATATATATATATATATATATATATATATATATATATATATATATTCTGCAAAACATTTTTTGTCAGAGCTGCAATTTGGGCCTACTAGCTGTCTAGTTATGGTGGATGCGATCGTCCCTGGAGCTGCATCAGGGCTGGCAGCGACAAACCACCTGTGACAGTCTGCCTCCTCCTCTGTTTTCTCCTGCTCCCTCCCTCCTCCTACTGCCTTCCAGTAGCAGGGACAAACATTTTCACTGAATTGTATAATATTGGCAATACCAGAGAACACAAAAAGGTATTTGCTCTCCCGTTATACACCATTGATATACAACCATTACCACAGCATGTACTGTAGCCAAATAATCCTATCAAGCAAAATAGTCTGTAGCCTAGTGGTTATAGGAGCCTCGGTAACACATATTTAACGGTGTTGTTGTTGACTTTGTCAATCCTAAGGATTTGCCGATTTAGACGTCGAAGATGCTTATATGGGTAAGGTTTGCGTGCGGACGTTCGTATGGACGAGTGTGCGTACTTATGAAAGTCTGCGTACTATGTAATTTCGAAAAAAAATAACCTAGCAGGGGATCGGATCGGATTTGATGAGGTAGGAAGCTACGGCGGTGGGTGATTATAATTTCTTCCACTGATTACCAACCAGCTGTACATGTAGATCTCTGTACGTGTTTAATTTTACAGCTGATGATGATGTATACTAGCTACTAGTACTATACAGTACTCTATCTAGAGGCGTACGTGTACATATATGGTGTATCTGCTACTACTAGTAGTTGTTAGGCTGTAACCCGCCTGACAGCGCAGCAATCTCTGGTGCGTTCCATGGATGCGTACGTCTGCCCATCACCGCGCGCCGCTCTTCCCTCTCTTTCTCACATCATCTTCCTTCTCCACCATCTCAATCTCTCTCTCACCTCATCTAGCCATGCCATACTAGTAAGCGCTTCAGTTCACGGTTGACACACACCGCCGATGGATGCCCATGCTCACCGGTCTTCCTCTCTCCTCACCGCCCTATTCTAGCTATTTATTAGTGCTGCTAGCCTAGCCCTACTGCTACCAGTACATACTGACTGCTGCCGCTGCCCTCTCGCTCCTCTCCTCTCTGCTCGTGGTCGTCATCGATCGTGGGCATCTCCTTCTCTTCTCCCTGTGCCAGCCTTGTACAACTGCCACTCTCCCAATCCTCCTCCCACCCCTTCTTCTTCGTCGTCTATCTCCCTCCTCCACCGCCCTTTTCTTTCCCCTTTTCCTCACACCCCTCTTTCCAGTTTATGCTGTCTGCTGTGCTGTGCTCGCCGGCCGGCTGGCCGGCCTCATCTCTCCAACCCCCCCTTCCTCACCACACCACGCCTCCACTAGCGCTAGTCACCTCCATGCGCGCTAGCTCCACTAGTCCCGCCCATCTTCTCCGTTCCGCCTCGATAATTCTGCCGTAGCAGCAGCCTAGCCTGCTATAGCTAGCTAGCGCCAGGGAAAAGATCGAGCCAGCGCCGGCCGGGCGCCGGGAAGGCGAGAGATTCCGCCTTTGATTCCACGCGCCACGCAGGCCGGCATGCAGCAGCCGGCCATGCCGCCGCCATTCTCGCCTGCCGCGGGGACGGCCGCCGCGGCTGGCCAGCACGCCACGCCCATCAGCAGCCGCCCGCCGCCGGAGTCGCAGCAGCAGCAGCAGCAGCAGCAGCATCAAGTCGACGAGGTCGGCGGCGGCTCGGCTTCCGCCGGCAGCAGCTTCGTCGTTGACCACGACGGCGGCGGCGCCTCCGCGGACGGCGACGACGGCGAGCGCAACGGGCCGTCCGGCGGCAACCGGTGGCCGCGGCAGGAGACGCTGGCGCTGCTCAAGATCCGCTCCGAGATGGACGCCGCGTTCCGGGAGGCCGCCCTCAAGGGACCCCTCTGGGAGCAAGTCGCCAGGTGCGTCGTCATGCGTGTGCAGTTGCCTAAGCCTAAGCCAGCCGTGAGAATTCTCCATGGCCTCACGCGACGCTGCATGAAATCTCGCTGTCGGATTCGTTCGTTCCAGCTCAAATTCGGTCTGTTTCGATGTGATGGAAGTAGCCTGCAGCAGCTGGTCGCCTCCTCTTCCTCTTGGATCGTGTGGCGCAGATCATGGCATCGTCGTCGCCTCCCACGGCCACGACGAACACAGTGAATTTCCCAATTAAAAACCATACACACATCGCTCTCCTCCTCCACTTTCCACTCATATTCTTCTTCTTTTTTTCTCAACCTTTAGTATACTTGTGTGTCGTCACCTCATCATCGTCTATCCCATAGTAGAGATACATGTAGTACTCCTAGTAGATAGATAAAGTAATACGACTACTCACTTCAGATCTGATGCCTGCAGATGGCATCAATCCCAATTATTCCCAAATTTAATTTCTGCATTTTATTCCAAATTGAGTATATATACTTTTAGTAAAGAAAGATCCTTTTTTCTATCTCTCTCCCTCCCTCTGTTAATTAATAACCAAATGGAAATTATACAAACTACATGTAGATAGATGTGGAAAAGTAGATCGAACAGATAGAATTGTACTGAGCTTGGAGGCTGGCAACTAGTGCTGTAGGTAGGTAGTACAAGTAGATGAGTAGATGCATATGGAGATGTCTCCCTCTTTTTTCTTAGAGAGCTACATGTGCATGCATGGCGATGGATGCGATCGTGATGGCAGTGGTGGTGGGCGCATGACATGGGGACGACACGAGACGAGGTTAATTGTGGTAGCTGTGCTGTGTATGTTTGCAGGAAGCTGGAGGCCATGGGCTACAAGCGGAGCGCCAAGAAGTGCCGCGAGAAGTTCGAGAACGTCGACAAGTACTACAAGCGCACCAAGGACGGCCGCGCCGGCCGCGCCGACGGCAAGGCCTACCGCTTCTTCTCCGAGCTCGAGGCTCTCCACGGTGCCTCCTCGCCGGCGGCGCCGCACCCGCCGGTGGTGGTATCTCTTGCGCCGACGCCTGTGGCCGTGGCGCCACGGGCCACGGCCCTTGTGGGAGCGCCTACCATGGTGCCGGCCACCTTGCATGCCGAGCCACCGCCACTGACGCCGCCGCAGCCTCGTGTCGTTGCCGCAGTGCCGCAGCCGGCTCCGACGACGGGGACTGGCAGTGCCACTGCTACAACCGCGCCCCCTGCAGTCGCCGCCAGCGACGCGGCGACGGCATGCATGATGACGCCTGGTGACGTCAGCTTTTCCTCGGGCTCGGACGGGGAGGACACGGAGGAAACCGGCGGCGGCGGCGACGGCGGGAAGCGGAAGCGGGACGACGGGGACGGTGACGGCAGCAGCGGCAGCAAGATGATGCGGTTCTTCGAGGGACTGATGCGGCAGGTGATGGAGCGGCAGGAGGAGATGCAGCGGCGGTTCATCGAGGCCATCGAGCGGCGGGAGCAGGACCGGATGATCCGCGAGGAGGCGTGGCGGCTGCAGGAGGTGGCGCGCCTCGCCCGCGAGCACGACGCGCTCGCCCAGGAACGCACCATGGCCGCGTCACGCGACGCCGCCGTCGTCTCCTTCATACAGCGGGTCACCGGCCAGACCATCTCGATGCCCATGCCCTCCTCCGTCGCGCCTCCGCTGGCCTTCATCACCGCGCTGACGCATACGCCGCCGCCCTTGCAGCCCACGCCGGTCGCTTCCGCTGCACCGGCGCAGCCACCTCCGCCTCCAGCTCATCAGCTGTCACCCACCACACCGAAACCGCACACAACAATGCCGATGACGGCACAGGTACATCCACATCAGGCGCCGTCGCCGGTGACGCATCCACAGGGCAATAAAGATATCGTCCTCCGCGCGCCGCCGGCGGCGGAGTCGCAGGACACGGCGGGGTCCGGTGGCGGCGCGCCGTCGCCGTCGAGGTGGCCCAAGGCGGAGGTGCACGCGCTGATCAAGCTGCGCACAGAGCTGGAGACTCGGTACCAGGACTCCGGGCCCAAGGGCCCGCCTTGGGAGGACATCTCGTCGGGGATGCGGCGGCTCGGGTACAACCGGAGCGCCAAGCGCTGCAAGGAGAAGTGGGAGAACATCAACAAGTACTTCAAGAAGGTGAAGGAGAGCAACAAGAAGAGACCCGAGGACTCCAAGACCTGCCCCTACTACCACCAGCTCGATGCGCTCTACCGCAGTAAGGCGCTCGCGTCGTTGTCGTCCGGCGCGCAGCTCCGGCGGCGGCACCGCCACGCCCGGATCTGCAGGCTGCTGCGGCGCCCGTCACCGTGCTGGCCGCGGTGCCGCTGTCCCAGACGGCGCCTCACGGCAACGGCAACGGGAATGGGTGCGCGAGCAGGGGCAGCTCGGACAATGGCGGCGGCAGCTCCGGGGGCATGCAGAAGCAGCAGGCGAGCAATGGCGCCGGTGGCAATGGCGTTGTTGCGACGAACAAGGTAATCGATCGATCGATCAAGTAGCATGCATGCATGGTGTCTCATATATATCCACACTTTTGGCGATCCGATCCGATCGATCCGGTTGCTGATGATCATAGGATGCATGCTACCGTACTGCTTGTTACAGCGAGAAGAAGGCATCATCATGAGGAAGGTGACGACGGCGGAGGCGGAGACGAGGCCGCAGCCGGTGTCGATGAACGACAGCTACGTGAACGACGACGCCGTGGACAGCGACAGCAGCATGGACGACGACGACTTTGACGACGAGGAGGAGGAGGGCGACGTTCCCGGAGGCGGCGGCTGCAACAGCAAAGTGCAGTACGAGATCCAGTTCCAGCGGCAGCAGCAGAACAACCAGAGCGGCGGCGGCGTCCGGCCCAACGCGAGCGGTGGCGCCGGCGCCGGCCCGGCAGCGACAACAAGTGGGTCTTTCTTGACCATGGTCCATCACTAGCTGCATGCATGCATACATGTCAAAGCGTGCAAACTTGTTGTACGTGTCCTTGCACAGGTAAAAAAAAGTGGACACCGTGCATGAACACCGAACAGCACCAAAACCATGCATTTTACTCTTTTCGATCCATGGAGCGAGCTTGCTCCTGCATGCACACACCAACAATTAAGCTCTTTCACTTACTTGTTCATCGTTTCATCTCTGGACCCAAAATCCAATCCTGCACATATACACATGCATGCATGCATAGACACGTGGGATTCACCGTACATATACGTATAGATGGTGGTGGTATTGGAGGAGGAAGAAGCTGATGGGGTGTACACACTACTGCGGGGTACATATATACCGTGTGTTACTGCTATTACACTACAGTTGTATGTGGTACAACAAAGAAGAGACATCTTGAGCTGATGGGAACATGTGCTCATGCCGGATTTTTTTTTGTGAGGGTATACTTTCGGGGCTTTCTTTTCTTTCCCCTTTTAAGAAGAATTGTTACTGAACTGTCCATTATGTAATTTATTATAAATTCGTCATTACATATACTGTGGTTATATTAATGACTGTTAAATTATACTGTGTAGTGCACTTGTTGGTAATTGTAATATCCTTATTGAGGTTCTCCGTGTAAGAACTACTTGGTAATTGTTAAATTTTACTGCCGTTAGAGCATTTGCCTGTCACTTTTTTTTAACCTTAGATCAGGATGCGTGCATGGCTGGTCGATCAGTACGTGGTTGCATTAAAATACTAAATGAGTTGTGGTATTCTCTTGGGATCCAAAGCTAAGTTTAGTTTATTATTATTGTCAATTGCAACTGCCACCTTTCCCCTTTAGATCCCATAGGGCTAGTAAGTTCCAACTCTTGATTAAAAATACAACCACTGGTACATAACCTGATATATGTGTGTTTCAACGTCAGTTTACAAAAAAAAAACGTAAAAGTAGAGAAGCTACAACACGAGAACATGCCGGGCTGGCATGTGTAGGTGCTTATTCCTGACGGATGAAATGGTTGCTGAAGTTTTACCAACTACGGACTTGCACATTCTGGTTTCAAACCTTGTTTATTTTTTTCATGGAAAGTATAAAAATTTCTTATTACTACTTTCTCCGTGCTAAATTCTAAGTCATCTTGGCTTTTCAGGTATATAGCTTTTGCTATGCACCTAAATATATACTATATAAAAATATAGTAAGAACTACAACTAGAAAAAAAACCAAAATGGCTTACAATTTAGAACGGATGGAACACTGTACAGCCAATTATTTATATGAATACGGTGAATCTACTCCCATTTCATCTTCTCATGTTTTTTTGTCATATGAATACAAATATAATACAAAAACTTGTGCTTAGTGCACATTAATTTGATGCTAGTTTAGTAACACAAACTTACTCCTGTACGTAGCGCCCCCATTGAACGTAGGCTTTGTGTGTTGTAACTTAATAAGATTGACTATATATCATAAACAGAGATCTAGAACCATTTTGATTTTGTGATCGTAATTATTTGAATAAGAGATGAAACAAATGCATTCAAATAAATCGATGAATTTGAGCACTACCGGTTAAAGCAACCCACATTGTTTCATATATACAATGTCCATCCCTTAATAAATTCATTCTTAGAGTTAACTTAAGTCATTTTTTATGCTTGACCATATTTATAGAAAAAGTACTAATATTTGTGACACCAAATGAGTATTATGAAAATATAGTTTATGGTGTATTTAATGATACCAATTTGATATCATAAACCTTAGCTATCTTTTCTATAAATTTACTCACAAAATTAAAAAGTTTGATTTAAGACAACTATATGAATGATTTATTTAGGGATGATTAGCGGGAGTATATATTAGAACTAATATTAAACCCATGATAAAAATTAAATAGTACTACCTATATCCAAAAAGAATACAACTATGGATTACGTGCCAGCAAAAGTGGTGCCAGCAAAAGTGGTGCACGTTTGACCAAATTTCTAGTGAATAGTATTCATATTTCTAGGTCCAAATCAATTGATTATGAAAATACATTTCATACTTAATTTAATATTATTTATTTAATATCATAATTATAAAGACTTTTTAATCTATAATTGATCAAATTTTAACATACTAAAACATGATACTATGCTAGAATTTTATTCTTTATCGGGAGCAGTAATTATCCGGGACGATGGTCTACAGCGTGACGTGCATGTGAGCGAAGGAGGAATGCGGGGGGACCTCGTTGTTTGTGCCAGATTTGGCAGCCTTACTCAGAGTCAGTGCTGGATCCGTCCGTAGAAGCGGCTGTGGTTGCAGTTGCCAGTTGCAGGCCAAGTGATGATGTCACTGCTGTGCTGTGCCATACGTACTCCGTAGTAAAAAAAAAAAAGTGTTCTTTTTTAGTGGGAAACAAAATAGCTGTGGGATCGGTGCCTGCTAGTGAGCCGGCCAAGCAGGCACGTCTGGGAGTCGTGTTTTGCAGTTATATACTAGTTTACCTGTCACTGGAAAAATGCTGCTGCTTTTAAGTGTCTAACCTTTTTTTTACGGAGGGAGTAGCTAGTAAGATCCCGTTAATAGCTTTTCATTAGCTAGATAGTTTATTTTGAGCTATTAGTTCAACTATTAGCTGTGGTGTTTGAATCTACTGAATCTAATTTTAACAGCTACTCCTACTATTAGTTTATGGGATCCGAACAAGGTCAGTATACCAGTGGGATAGGGTGGGTCACTGGGGCTGCCTTGCAGTTCCAGATTAATGGTAAAAATGCCCCCAAACGCATTGCACAGTCAGGTGGAGCTATGGTTCAAGTCGAGGAAAAAAAACATCAGGTCAAATTTCCTAGCCTCCGTCCACATGACGAACACGTCGGCTTGGGTCGGTCTATTTCTTGAACTTTCCTATACCGTACTCCTTTCATCCACAAAAGAATGCGATTCACACATTTCGAGGAGTCAAACAGTCTAAACTTTGACTAAAATTATATGAAAAATACTAACTCTCATGAGACAAAATAAGTACCATTAAATTAGTTATGGAATATATTTTCATAATAAATTTATCTGAAGACATAAATTTTCATATTATTTACTATATATTTGGTCAAACTTGAGTTACTTTGACCGGCACGATTCCTAGTTGGTGATTGTTCGTGACCGTCTCCCGGTGATTTATGAGGGGTCTTGTACCTTTTTCGGCGGAGAGCCAAAAGGTAACTTTAGTAAATTGCTCGTGTCATTGAGTTACCTCACTTGTGGTAGGTTCTTGCGGCGCCCTTGTGGTGGGCTAGGTATGTGATACCTATTAGCCGCCGAACCACCAAGTGTTGGTCGACACAACGAGGACTAGCGTGCCGGCAAGCACGTGAACCTTGGGAGAAAAATCTTGGTGTCCATTGTGATTGGAATTCTCTCTGTGATTGATTGACATTCATATTGTGATTGGTTCATTCCTCGACACGGCGGTATAATGCACCCTACCCACTCCTTTACTTTCTTTGCAATCTAGTTGTGTAGCAAGCTCTTTAGTGTAGCTAGTTTTGAGAGCTTGCTTGCTAGTTTAGTTTCACCTAGTGAAGCTCTTTAGTGCAGCTTTATTGAGAGCTCTTAGTGAGTAGTGACTTAGCTCTTGTGTGGCTAGTGATCATAGCAACTAGAATTGTTGGGATATGTGACTTGCAACCCTTGTAGAGTTAGAGCAAAATTGTATTATGCCATTTAGTGTACTATCGAATTGCTCTAGTGATTTATAGAGAATTTTTATAGGCTATTCATCCTCCCTCTAGCCATTTAAGACCTTTCAACAGCCAGCTACCTGAACCTATACGCGGCGAGGAACGGCTGCACATTGCGGCTAGAAGAGGCGTCGGCCGTTGAGTAGCGTGGTGACCACCTGCAGCAAGAGCACGTCCGACCGAATTCTCTGCATGGCGGAGCTGAGGAGAAGGCATGGGGAAGCTCCCCCGACTCCTCGTGAGGATACCCCGCCTACGATTCCGCGTATCTTTGCGTATGTTGGGGTGTTTTTTACCAAGTGCCAAAAGATTAGTGGTTCGATTTGGGGTTGTTAGAGATGAATTTTTTTTCAATCTCGCTAGAAAATAAAGGTTTGGAAAAAGTGTTTTTATACTGTTCGAGATGCTCTCTCGACTCTTCGCAGGCCTTATTACTGGCCGGGTCACAGTACGTCACCGATGAATGAATTCCTCACCAAAATTCTCCAGCTCCATCAATCCAGTGGAGAAATGGATAGAGCAGAGGACCAGTGTGCGTGCGTGCGTCACAATACCACCTCTCTTGCGTTTCAAACACGCCTTGAATTGAATGGATTTCGCTGCTGGCATGGCTGGATGGAGAGTACCGGTACGACCCCTTACGTGCAGCTTCACGTCACCCGTGGGATTTGGACAAGTTAGGTCCAGTTTAGTTCCAGAAAATTTTGCTTCAAATCACCCGTGGGATTTGGACAAGTTAGAACGAAACAATGCACAAAAATGCATGCACAGGCCGCCCAGAAAAAAAAATTCTTGTAAACGCTGCTTAGAACGAAACATGCACAAAAATGCATGCACAGGCCGCCCAGAAACTTGTACGTGCTGCTACAGCCTACAGTAGGGCAGGGCTACGCCGCCCACGAAAACCTGTACCGCCGGTACATGCTCTGATTTTTCAATGAAAGTAATAAATAAAGTAAACCAACAATTATTGGACTGGATTGAATTATGGGCATTTTTTGGTACGACCCTTTGTCGTTATGCGAAGCAAGAGAGCATAGGAGTAGAGATGGTATGAGTGCCACACGCATCCAATTTGTCTGCATCCAATTTGTCTTGAATGAATTGTGTCGGGTTGCCATTTTGTTCGCATGAATGATGGATCGGTGGATGGCTTTCGATTAAATTCATGGTGTGGTCTGGGGAGCCAAACGCAGGTGCATGCTTCGCGCTGCGATGGAGCATGACAATATGGCGGGTCTAGGAAAATTGATTAGTAAGGGCTC